ACTAATCGTGGCCCTATCAATAACACACATCTCAAGGCTTAAGGTTATGAAATATTAGGCTTGAAGCCTCCTAGAGTGTTTTCAGTGTTTAGTGTGTTTAATTCAAACTCTGGTTCATTTCCCCCCTTAGTGTGTTTCCCTTGTGCAGGTGTCAACATGGTAATCATACTCAGGTGTGGACCAAAACAACTCCAACAACCACACCAAGAGCTTTTCGAGGAGTTTGTCTCAGTTGGGCTCCAAACGAACTCCAGAGTGATTAGTTTACAGTGTGAACGAGTGCCAACCAAAGTTCAAGTCTGATCCAACTACCAGAAGTACATTACAAGTTTGAGCTAAACACCTTTCACTAGCCATGTATGCTTTGCATGCTGGAATGTATCAGGGTACCATAGATGCCAGCTAGCAGTGAAATTAATGTAATTTCTCCACAGTCTCCAATAGTCCATAACATGGCACTTTTTCTCTTGCATTCACTTTTGTTGCTCTTGCCCCAGACACATTTGGCCTATAAGCTCAGTGAATGTTCTCACTTTGTGAATAATGATGCATTTTAGTTCGCTTGGAGTTCACTTGAATTTTTCTCTGTGTAACAATCTAACCATGGGAAAAAACTACAAATTTACAAAGTGGGCAACTGATTCAGACCACAGGAAACTAACTACAGGTGTAAAAACACCCTTAAACAGTTAAGCTGCCAATGAAATTCTCTGACAAATAACGGCTTGTCCCAAGGCTCACACCATCTGCACTCCAGCTTCAGTCAATTAAATTCTACTATTTTATTAGCTGCTACTAAGCACTAATTAGCAAGGATCTAACTCTGTGTGAAACACTCTTAGACTTTAAAATAATCTAGTAAGTAAAAAAAGCACACAGACAAACAGAAAGACTGATTCATATAGATATGAAAACCATTCACCGACCCACATAATCTTGACACAAAAGTCCTTACCTCGAGCTGTGGCTACCTCTCCTTCATGCCAGGCCAGGCAGTGAAAGGCAGTAGGTGCGATACCGACAGGAAAGCTGATTTCTGTCCCCTGCACAGTGGTCCGTGTGTCGCTCACTGACACGTCCCGCAGGATACGAGGCCTCAGACGGATCCTGAGTGTGAAGCACAGTCGAACATGTAACTAATAAGATCACATGGTACGAGAAAATCTTTGTATATTTTACTGTATTGTGTATACTCATTCAGCAGAAGCTTCACTTTAAAAAGAATGTGTCTCAGGGTCAAAACCCTGTCATGATAACACATCAGTAAGGAAGCAACTGGACTTCTTTAAGTTTCCTGAAGACGTTTAAACGCTCATCCGAGAAGCTTCTTCAGTTCTAAGACCAAATGGTGGACGGTCCCAGGTATTTAAAGCTCTAGTGGGAGTTGTCCCTAAGACGGCTGCTGACCCACTTCTGATCATGTGCCTCATTACACGAGGAAAGGTGTGAAAAAGGGAAAGTGAAGAGTGAAAAATGACACAAACCCTTTTTACGCCTTGGCTCGTGTGATGAGTCTAGCTTAGCTGCTTTTCTTTCCAAGCTCCTTGGATTATTATGACCTGGATGACTGAGAACCTACACAGACACTTTCCTAATGAAGTTATATTCCTCTAAATGTGAAGAGGACTTGGGGATTCTGTTTTCCCCAAAGCTATTACTGGTGATATATTAAGGAAACAATCCAATGTGATCATTTCTCAAAGGGACAAAAGTTATCTGCAAAATGGTATCAGACTCGTGGCAAAAACATACACTGTGACTTTACAAAATAGGCACTTTATCAGTCTTCATGGAGACATTAGAAAAGCTGAGAGGAATGCAGAAGGAGACACGGGAGAAAACATCCTCCCCAAAATTCTTTATCCCAGCAGTAGTGCAACTTTCCAAACTGTTCACCACAGGAAGTTGGAGGAACGGTGCAGCGTCAACACTGAGTAAAACCCAAACAGCCTGTTACTGATTATTTGGTATCACAGCAACAAAAACTGTACTACAGAAATCACTTACAGCCATCCAAAGTCCACAGAAACAGGCCGTGCACTCACATGATCTTTGGCTCGGTACTGAAAATGTTTTTCAGCTGTGTTTGCTCCTATTCTATTCATAATGTAGAGATTATTTCTTTAGTTTGTTGAAGCTGCACCACTGCAGTGCTGCCTGCATGTCTGTGGTCACAATGACCGTCAAAATGTTTCTCCTTTGTGCTGCTTTTAGATAGACGGTCTGACAAACATTGTAAAAAAAAAAAAAATCACTATGGAAACACGTGCATTATGCTTGTGCAATAACCTTGAATGTCTGGATCAACTTTATTTTGCTCACTGTACCTTTTGTAAGCCAGCAGATTGTCGTCCCTGGTGCAGCATTCATCTGCTCCAGCTGCATAATAATCCCAGGTGGCCTTTGAGAGATGCTCCTTAGCATACTCCTCAAAGTCTGTCAGGCATACCATCTGCATCTCTCCACAACAAACTCCCTCTCTGTGTAGGAGCAGAATTTTTCAGATTTCAGTGTAATCTTGGCAACAAAGCAGCAGAAAATATAATCAAGTATTGATATGTGTACTCTTAGATCTGTGCATATCATTTTAAATGAAAGCATTTCAACATGCTATATAACCTGTGACTGACTGAAAATAAAGATTTCTAGTATTTAAAATTACTGCTGGTCAATGCCAAGCACTGCTGACTTTACCACAGCTTTATCTTATCTGTTCACTCAACCGGCTAAACAGAATTTTCTGCATTGCAAGCGAGACAAACAGCCCCAGTCGCTCTGCATGTGTAAAGTTACAGCTTCAAGACTTACCACAAGTTACTGATATTCCAACAACAAAATTCCCCTACTCTAAAAGGACACAGCCTCTGTGAAGCACTAACTATTGCGACATCGCTGCTCAAACTGAAATGCCCCTCCTATCAGTGAATGCAGTGCAATCGATGACCCGCCAGTTAAAGTTCTGCACATCTGAGTAAGAAACATAAACTGGTTTCGTTTTCCTTTTTCCTCTAGTTTGCGTCCAAGTTCTTGTTTTCCTACCTTTGCTTTTGTCTCAATCAGAATCAAACTTTCATTGCGGCATTATGAGAGCCGCTGACAGTGTAAGTGACCAGCAGGTGACCCCTGGCCTTATTGTGTTTACACAAGCTGGAAATGTGCTGATGATGACTGCGACTATAGTGAGGACGAGAGGCATCTGACAGTGTCGTGTGGTCCAGATGGAACATACAGCATATGGGCATACATATTTACTCACTGTTTACCCAGGATCCTACATGCTAATTTATATACAACAGGGCCTTTTGTCAGGTGGGAGCTCCTGTTTTGTTACATGTCCTTAACAGTCAGCATAAAATTATGAGGGTATGCTCAACATGCTTACGCTGAAAAAAAGTTTAGCTGCGCCTGTCCAACTACTTGTTGATGAAAATGCCTTTAATCAGTCAATCACAAAGCAGCAACTCGTTTAGACATGTAGACATGAGATGACCTGCTCAACCTGAGCGTCAGAATGGAGAAGAAAGGTGATTTTAAACATGGCAGGCTTGTTAGTGCTACATGGGTTGGTGTGAGTATTTCAGAGACTGCTGATCTACTGGGATTTTCCAGCACCACCATCTCTTATTTTTACAGGGAATTGGCTAAAAAAAAAAAAATCCCGCAAGCAGCAGTTCTCTGGAAGAAAATGCCTTGTTGATACCAGAGGTCAGAGGTGAATAGGGCGACCGTGGCTCAGGGGGTTGGGAAGTGTAGCTTTAACTGGAAGGTCGCTGGTTCGATCCC